TTTTGAGTGGGGGTCGCCAAAAGGGGGGCAAGGAGAAGGCAACAGTGTTACACTGTTGACTCATATTTAGCTTGTGGTCCACTATGATACCCAGATCACTTTCCGCAGCATTCCTTCATTGGCAGCTACTTCCCATATTGTATGTGCAACTGATTGTTCCTTCCTAACAAGCACTTTGCATGGTCTTAATGAATTTCATCCGATTTACCTCAAACCATTGCTTCAATTTGTCCAGGTCGTTATAATCCTATCCTCCAAAGCACTTGCAACTCTTCCCAATTTGGAATAATCCACAAACTTTATAAGTGTATTCTCTATGCCATTATCTAAATCATTGATGAAGATATTCAACAGAACCAGAGCCAGAACTGATCCCTGGGTAACCCTACTTTTCATGCCCTTCCAGAATGACTATGAACAATTGATAATTACTCTCTGGGAATGGTTATTCAACCAGTAATGCACCCACCTTATAGTAGCTATATCTATGTTGTATTACCCTAGTTTGTTCATGAGAAGATCATGTGAGACTATATCAAAAGCCTTATTAAAGTCTAGATATACTACATCTACTACTTTCCCCCATTTACAAGGCTTGTTATCCTGTCAAAGAAAGCTATCGGGTTGGTTTGTCATGATTTGTTCTTGACAAATCCTTGTTGACAGTTACTAACCACCTTACCATCTTCTTGGTGTTTGCAAATTTATTGCTTGATTATTTGCTCCATTATTTTTGTGGATCCTGAAGAAATAGAAACTTTTTATTTACAATAAAATGGGCAGATATGGACTTTCCATAGACACAGGGTAAATCTGACATAAGTTAGATTTAAAGATGATCAGGGAGAAATTATTTTTTCTTTGTCACTTTTCAAATGAGTATCACACATGAACCATGGGGGTGTCAGTTATACAATTAAAATATACTATTAACGGTCTTTTTAATTTTTTTCTGAAAGCAGACCACGTACACGCTGGGTGTGATTCACCCTGTGAAGAACACCAGCACAGAGTATCACTTAAAACTTATTCTAGTATCACTTAAACGTTCACGTGGTAAATAGGATTTGAGCTTACTGTTTGCTTTGGGGAACTTTTGCACAATTTGAGCTACTATTGCATTCCAGATTTATATCACAGGAATGATCACAAATCGGACACACTAGTTTTATGCTATTTTCTAAGTTACAAGTTGTAGTCTACCTTTGTTAACTAGTCAATTATCTTAAATTTCAGCAGTGATACAACCGAGATAGTCTGTATGGGTGTGTCTAAACTACACCCCTCTGCTGACAGAGAGCTGTAGATTAGGCACATTGCTATTACAAATGAAGTAGGGATTTAATATCCCATATTTTATTTGAATAGAAATGGCTGCCACTTTTTGCTGATCCGGCACTTTGCCAGCAAAAAGCGGCAGTCTAGATGGGGATTGATCAAAAAGGAAAGCCTTTTCTGACTGATCCCTTATGCCTCATGCAACGAGGTTTACAGGATCAGTTTGAAAAAGCTTTCCTTGTTGACCGATCCCCATCTAGACTGCCTCTTTTTGCCGGCAAAGTGTTGTGGTGGCCATTACTATGCAAATGAAGCATGGGATATTTAAATCCTCACTTCATTTGCAATGGCGATGTGCCTAATCCACATCCCTCTGTCGGCAGAGGGGTGTTGTTTAGACACACCTTATAGTTTCACTTAGAGTACAATTTTAAAAGTCTGGTAAACTTTGCTAAAAATGTTTATTAACACCATAATTTAAAATTCTGTTTTGCTTAGTATACTCATAGCTATGTTTATGGTAAATCTTATTCTGCAATAATCTCTTCCTAAGTGGGGGGAGGGGAAGGGAATCCATCTATGAATATTCATTCAAATTAAAAAATGAGTTTGGGTTTGACCACGTTCACAACCCTCTTGTTTGCTTTCCATAAGGACTCACATGTTTGAACTTTATAAACACAAACACCTCCCTGAAAGATAAATACTTTAGCTCAAATAATCACACTGTTGAATTTTAATGGTATATCCAGTTGTAAAATTCACAATTTGCATTATGCTGGCTAGTTATACAAGTCATATTTATTGTTGTTTATTGTAACTATGGTTTATGTCCTAACCAACATAGAATGAACTGGCATTACTACCAAATATACACAATATCACATGGGTTAGTTACATTGATTTAAATTACTATGTAAACTGTCAAAAATGAGTAGTTCTGTGGCACCTTAGAGACTAACAAGTGCCACAGGACTACTTGTTATTTTTAAAGTTACAGATTAAAACCTACCCCTCTGAGATTTTTTATGTAAACTGTCAACAAAATTCATAACTGAAGCAATCTTTACACCAAGAACTCTTCCCTTGAAATTCATAAAACTGACAACAATTTTAGAATTTCACATTCTAAGCACAGAAAATACAGAATAAAAGAGAAAAAAGTCAAATGTGCCAAATTATTTATTGCAATCCATTTAACTCCATTACATAGTACTTACTAAGTTTTACCAGTGAATCAGGAGATTTTGCTAAAGAATAAAATTTCTAGCGCATGCTTACCTTTCTTATTTGCAAGAACGTGTCTTATTCTGAATTTTCAATCTCATTACAACTTTTATGCAACTAAGAATATATATTTGGCCAGAGTGAGAGAGAGGTTTAATTTTAAAAAGTCAGATTGTAACTTTTGGGATTGCTTATTGATTGAACAGGACGGACCATTCATCCCTAGCTAACATGGGTATCATTTTATGTTATAAAGATAAAAAGCTTTGTATATTTGACAATCATTTTTCATTTCTGTAAAATGGCACAGAGCTGGATTTCAATGCAGCAAAAGATGAGCAAAAATAATTTTATATACATCACATGTGCACACACAAAGTGACCCTAGAAACTTCATTAATAATAAAGGGGGCTGTGGGGTTTTTTAACCACCAATTGGCAAGTCAGAAATGTGTAAAGAGAACATCTTGTGGAAAAAGAACTGTAATATCCAGCTTTAATGTTTTAATTGTGTTGACTAATTATTTGTTGTATAACCTCCATCGCTTATTGAAAATGGCAAATAGATTACGGCTTCAAAACCTCAAGCATAATCTTATTTTAAGACTTTCCTCATCCTTACATCATTCTCCTTTGTGTTACTGTGAAGGATCAGGAGAATCAAAGAGGACCCCTCAGGCAGACACAAGAGGAGGTATTTTTTAAAAATAAAATCTCCAGGATTTCATTATAAATATCACTTACGTGGGAGATTTTCTGAGGCAGAAATGGCAGGGAGGCATCCCACAGATTTATTATGAAGCAGTGGAAACAGTGAGTAATGAAGAATTATTTGGGAATTGGCTGTATTCCTCAGCTGTTTAATTGCAGACTGTTTAATGTTTGTTAGGGCTTTTCTGCATTCTTTTTAAATAAAGATGCAGAATTTTGAAAAAAGTATAATTTTGTGGGAATTCTCTGGTCTCCATTGAAATACTTTCTGTCTTTACAAAGTAAGCTTTTTTTTTTATTTTTATTTTTTCACCAAGGAGAGGCAGAAAGGGAGGAGAATAGTTAAATGATCCTGACTTCTTATAAAGGTTCCAGACAGGGGAAAGCCAAAGAAATCTTTAAGGATGTGATAAAGTCAGTGGAAAAATTTCAGTGGGCTTTGCATCAGGCTTAAATGATTACTATGCCAGCATTTTTCAAATTGAGGGTCCCAATCTAAAAGGAGTTGCAAAGCTATTGGAAGTAGAGATCAAAGATATGGTAACCTTTGATGTGCAGGTTTTTCCAGACATGACCTCATCCAAACAGATTTTTTAAATAAATATGTTTGTGCTTTTTCTTGTTCATCCTTTTTCCTTGCCTTCAGAGTTGAACAGCTGGAAAACAGTGGCTGCTAACCGGCCACCCAGCTCTGAAGGCAGCAGTGTAGAAGTAAGGATGGCATGCTATGGTTACTTAGCTCTGTAGGGAATCTCCACTGATGCCACAAAAGCAACCAAGCATGTGGGGGAAGGTCATTAAAGGTTAAAATACTTTCAAAAAGGGAGGGCAGGGGGGGAAAAAAAAAAAAGGTCTAAGAACCAGGCCCAACAATAGCAATTCTGGTCCCCAGGGCAGGAAGGGCAGGATAGTTAATGGGCCCCCTCGGACAAACAAGACATGGATGCAGTTCCCCTGACATTTGGGTGGTGCTGTGCCTGTGCTAGCTGGTGCCAAGGGAGTTGCTAGCTGCACTGTTATGAATGCTTTTCCCATTTAGCCAGGGCTTCCACATGCCCACCAGTGTTCCCACTAAGCTGCGGGGCAACACAGCTTCACAGGTGATTAATCAGCCCCGCCCAATCAATCAGCTCCTTACACAGAGCCCTAAGCCTCTGACTGGGCAGGGCTGATTAATCACCTGAGAAGCTGTCTGTGGCGCAGTTTAGAGGGAACACTGATGTCCACCCAATAGGGTGGCCAATGCTCTAATTATGCAAACCCAAAAGTGTTTGCCCTCCCTCTGCCCCTTCTGAGGCTCTGGCCTCTTTAGCCCCCTTCACCATCACTCGCTCTCCCCCACTCTCACTTGCCCTCCCCAGCAGCCACAGGGTCATGACAGATACTTTTGGGAGCAGCGGGGAGCCAGGCCAGGCAGAAAGCATCCCTTAGCTGGCTCTACTGGCAGCAGAAGTCAAGGGTCCCTGAGCCCTTTTAAATAATCCAGGCCCTTGTGCAACTGCCTCCTGCTCCCATCAGTGGGCCTGTATGCAGTCTTGTGACAGCTCTTCAAGTCTGGGAAAGATACTCAGAGTGTCACGGCTAAATATAAATATATAAAAGAAGAGCTCTGTGTGAGCTTGAAAGCTTCTCTCTCTCACCAACAGAAGTTGTCTGAATAAAAGTTACTACCTAACCCAACTTGACTATTTTACATCTATCTAGCACATTCATCGCCATGGTACTTCAACTGTTACCCCAGAGCATCCAGCAACAAGTTCATATTCATTTTATTAGCCACCTACCTCAAACCACTGCCCATGTGACTGCATTTTGAGGATGACACAAGGATCTGGCTTGGAAAGGGCATCCCGGTCTGATATGCCTTTGCATGCAACTCGCAGCTCCACTTTAGTCAGGCATGGGCTGCTAAAGATTCCCAGGGTATTGGCAGCTGATTCATAGATGTTGCTCATTTTCTTCATTCTCTGTTCTGTGAAGAGAGAAAAGAGTCTCTCAAAACCAATTTAACCACAGTGCAATCCTTCTGTTCACATGGAAGCCCGTCCAATTCTGTGCTGTCTAAAGAAAAGGATTCCCTCTGTCATGGGTGAGAGTCATAGCAAATTCAAATGAAAATGTCTAGAATGCTTTTAAGCCCTGGAAGAGAACAAAATATATAATAATAAATAACCCACACAACTACCAAAACTTTCACATTTATAAACTATTAGGCATGATTTTTATGGTAGTGCCTAAAAGACCCCAGGAACGCAGCCCCACTGTGCAAACCCAGATGGTCCTGCCATGTAGGCTAAATAGACAAGACAGTTGCAGGGTAAGTGAAAGAGGTAGGACATACTAGCAAAGTACACAACATGATGGCACCAAACAGAATGTTAGTTTATTTTGGGTTGTGTGTTTAGTTAGATGGGGATTCACTAACTGGACAGGATGGTGGAGAAGCAGATGTGGAGAAGCAGATGTGGAATGAAACTATGGTGAAGAGACTGTGAGGAAGGGAAATGGAGATGGGAAGGGCTGGAGGAAATAGTCCAATCCATACAGGGAAGAGAAAATCCAGTCAAACATAAAACAGATGGGTCCAAACTGAAACTCATCACCCTCACCCAGAACCTTAGGAAGATTCAGATGTGAAACTTAACTTCACAACTTTCAACCCTCTCTTTTGACAGCTGTATTGTTTCCCTTTATGACAACGTTTTATCACATTCCCCAGACTGAAGGGCTCATTGGATACAATTCTGAACTTGCCCTCAGCATCCCTATGTTCAAATTAACACAAAATTGTAATGAAATGAATTTAGCCATCCTTGGCGAGGTCTCCATTTGGCTGCATGCCAACCTAACAAAAGACACATTCACTTTACTACTTCCACATAACCCTACAAAGAGAAGGCCCTGCTACGAAGATACAATAGTACACATAAAGCCTGAATTATATTAACTCTCTGCTTCCCATCCTCCTCGCTTCAGGTCAGTGTTAAATTTATGGCATAGGCAGCCGAGTATAAGCATATATAATTGTAAAGTCTCAGCATTATGGATTGTACGCTCTTCGGGTAGGGGGGGCCATATCTTAAGAGCTTGTTCAGTGTCTGAGAATGGAGTCTAAGGGCACTAGCTTAATACAAACAATTTAAAAATTTATCATCAACCATATCGCAGCTCAAGTTTTGTAGGCAGCATTGTAATAATGAAGCAGTGGTAACAAAATTATAATATGAACCAGGTTATATATAAGGAATATTGGGCCATTTTAATTGTTCAGTCATGTCTGAACTTCACAGGATAATTTGACCTCGCAAATCTGGTGCTTCTAATATGAGGCTTGCTATCTTCAGGCTCCCCCCCCCCGAGAAGAACTGTAAACAAGCAATTTCACACTCTGCTAGAGAGCAGGATTAATATTATTAAATTATAGATATGTTTTCTGCGCTCTCTTTAAATGCTCCTCGCTGCCTTTCAGGCAACACCCCTATTTTCAGAGGTTAATGTTTGCAGAGAATAATTTTGATAAAAGCAAACAGTTGGTATTTTTTGAAAGAAATTAAAATTGCCCTTCTTTCACTCAAGAGTCATTAAAAACAATGTGAGCCCATCCACAGTGCTTCTATTAATCTAAAAGGTACAATTAGTTCAGCAACTTTCAACATTCAGAATGAGAAGACGACAATGACAAGCCAACGTAGAACCTTGACAGAATGCAAATTAAATTTTGAAAAGTGTCTAAGTGATGAAGCAGAATGGCTTCTCTCACTAAGGAGCAACATGCGTGTTGTCCGTCTACAATGGCTCAAATCATTATTTTCTATGCTTGTCATTATTACCACAAGATACGGGCAAATAACTGATTTTTGAAAATCCTGGTGGGGAAGGGGAGATTCAGTTTGGGTCAAACCAAATTTTAAAAGTGTGAAAAATGTCAGTAAATTGTTTTAAATCTATTTCAAGTCAAACAAAATATGTTTAATTTGATTCAAATTGGATTTTATGTAAGCATTTGTAAAGGGCTGCATGGCAGCAGTGGCTTCCTCTAAAACCCTTATTTTAGTGGTGAGATTATTTACCAGCCTGTGGAAGACCTAGGTTCAGTTTTCCCTATTGTCTGAGAACGAGAACAGATGTAAAATGTGTTCTCTCATTGCAGGATGGAACCTTGGCTATGGGACAGGCCTCTGTCTCTGCTGTTGAAGTTATTCCACTTCCTATAAACAATTGAATAGTCATTGAAGCAGAGATATGAACTTGGATTTCCCAAGCTCTAGATTGAAGAGTGATTCACACTGTCTTTTCCCTGGCCCAGTGATTATTTTTTTTATTATTATGGAAGTTGTTTGTGTGTTTGTTTTTACTGAAACTATTTGGCTAATTTGTGTTTCAAATTCATGACTTGTTTTGGGTCAATTAAAATAGCTTGAATAACATCATTTTGTCCAAAAAAATTCACCCAGCTCTAGTTACAACCCAATAACCTATGAATAGTCCCCAGTTTTTTGCAACTTTCTGGGTCCTGTGTGCTTCTAAGTCACCTGGTCTGGATAGAATCTAACCATTGTTTCTAGCTCTGTGTCTATAGGGCATACCTCCTAGGCTCAGACTTCTTGCTTGATGCCCTACCTTGGATCATGCAGTGCCACCACTCAGCTACGCTAGAGTCCAAAATCAGTGTCTGACATCTTCAGTCCCTCACAAAGGCACCCTCAGAGTCTCTCTTACCCTGTGAGCACTCTGTCTCTTCAGGGATTAATCTAGAAGCCCAATGTGACAGAAAAGCAAGAAATGGAGTCTCAGCAAAGGAACTTCTTAACCACAGTAATTTTACTCTTCAAAGTCACTTTACAGTTACAGCTTTTTGAAAAATAACAAACGTCCCAAGATGCATCTTCCCCTGGTCTGATCTCACCCCATCTGTGTTTTTGAGATTGGTCAATATTTCAGACCTGGTGACATCCACCCTGCCCATTGTCCCCTGAAAATGTAGCAATTCTTGGCCTCCCACTGCTCAGAGTGGCACCACTTCTTAAGTGGTCTCTATCTCCTTTGGCCACGTGCTAAGCTGGAAAGCTCTAATCGCCTTCCCCCACTCAGGCTAACCACACCTGTATAGAAAATGGATTGTTTCCTGGGGACCAGTGTTCCCTCTAATTTTTCCATCCAGGTGCAGAATATTTTTTGTATTATGTGCACCAATGCATGTAAAGAGGTGCACCACCAATAGAAACACATGTTGCTGGCTGAGAGTAGCTCAGCCAATCATTTGTGCAGCACCAGCATCTCTCCTGAGTGGCCACTGAAGCAATCAGCTTACAGGGAACACTATGGCTATGATCTACACAGCAGGTTTATTTTGGAATAACTGACATTCTGAAATAACAGTGTGTCTACACTGCAAGCCATTATTTCGAAATAATGGCAAGCTGGAGGACTTCTTACTCCAACTTCCGTAACTCTCATTTTACAAGGAGTAAGGGAAGTCAGATGAAGAGTGCTCTCTCTCAGACTTCCTGCTGTGTAGTCAGAACCAAAAGCTGATAAGCTATTTCGATTTGAGCTACACAACTGACATAGCTCAAGTTGCGTAGCTTAATTCGACTTTTGCCCTGCTGTGTAGACGTGCCCTGTGGGACCTGCCAGTGGACAAGAGTCATTCATGGTGATTAACCCCTGATTGCTCCCTGGATGGCTTCTCTGTGACAGTCTTCTAAAAAGGGGTGAAATGCTTTTTCTGGAGGGGGCAGATGCCTGAAACGCTATGCAATAAACTGCCTTGGGTAAATTAAAACCTGTATTCAGTACATAATCCAAAATGGAGTGCTTAATCCAATGGGGCTCACAATTTGATACACACATATTCCACAGTCATGATTAAGAGGAGTGGGGACTGTGATGTGTGACAGCATGAGTAATTAAGTGCCTAGTTCAGAAAAGCCTTAACTATATGCTTAAATCTCTCCCTATTCAAGAAGGCGCTTACTCAAGTAGCATGCCACAAAGTGCTACAGCCTAGACTGAAAAAGATGGCAGAACACATTGTTCAAGTTTATAGCATCTGCTGGTCTATATTTAATTTGTCATTACAACCATCTTAGACAGGCTCTGAGAACAGCACATGTTTAAATGCTGTTGTGAATAGAGATCTAAACAAATTAATATAGATGACCTTTAAAGGTGAACTGTACATGACATTTTAAGAGAGTTTGGTTTGGACAGAACCCAAAAATTTGGAGTAGGGACAGACTTATTTAATTGGGTCTAATTTTGATTCTCTCCTTCAAATGTTATCCATGTAACTATAATTAGCATAGATACCCTAAAATGGTTGAATCACAAATATACCAGCAATAGTATAAACTTAACCAGTATATTCTGCCATGTGGATTGTATCATTCTGTCGGGTGCTACTCTGTTAGGCAAAAAATATATCACAGTTATGGATTAAAAACAAGGGGGGAAGGGTTGGATCAGAAGTTCACACAGTCACCCCTACTCTAACGCATTCAAACAAGCTCAACATTTGTCAGCCACTGCTTTGAAGGGAAGAGAATCTCTAGACAGTATGTCGTGTACACATAGCGAGTCAAATAAACACTCCTTCAGACACTTGGAACAACTGCCACCAAAACCAAAAATCCAAAAAACATTCAGCAACTTTTCAAAAGACATTAAAGCTGGAAGTAACCAATGGGGCCAGTAAAATCTATAGGTTGAACCTCTCTAATCTGGCACCCTGGGGACTTGACTGGTGCCAAACCAGAGAATTTACTGGACCCTGGGAGGCCAATATTGTCTATCAGCATAACCAACACTTCCACTGCTTTCTGGGCTCTTAGAAGACACTTTGGGATTAATTAGAGCTAAATAACAGCACAGAACACAGAGAGCCAGGGATGGTGACTGGAAACAAATTTTATGGGACCACAGGAAACATGGCCACATCCATGATAAGCAGACATCTGGTTAACCAAATTCATGCTGGACCACAGATATTGCTGAAGCAGAAAGTGCCGGACTAGAGAGTTTAACTTGTATTATATGGCTAAAAATTACACCAAAAATCATGGCCATAATGAAGTCAACTGGTGTTTTGCCATCGACTTCCAGGACTTTTTCTTCATATCTTATCCCTCACATGGTTAATCTGTTATGGCTGGGAGAAGACTGCAGGGGAGATTTCCAAGAGTCTAAACAGCAATTAGTTAGCTAACTCCCACTTTGAAAATGAAGTGAAGTTTTTCCAGCTAACTGTTGATTGTGCCTTTGAAAATGTCTGTGTCTCTTTATTATCCATCCTGCCTCAGGAAGTTGTGCAACAACCTTATCTACTAGATGTCAAGGTATTTTTATTCCTCTGCATTTAAATTGGTTTGAAAACCAGGTTAATTTCACATCATACACATATTACATCCCTACTGAAATGTCATCCTTTGTGCAGCAATGGGTTAGTGATTCTTAATAATTAACTTTAACACAGATGACTTCAAAACTGGGGAGAAAGAAAATCCTGGGAGTAAAAGATGTATTATTCCTCCTCCCCCAGCAATCATAGGCTGTTTTTTCTCAATGGTGAGTAACTATAAAGTTACTTCCCTTTTTAATACCATAGCCTTTTCTCTAGTTATTGCAAGTACTAAATTTATCAACGAAAAAGATCAAGTGGCTGCCTTATTCTTTTGTTCCATTATATTCTTCTCTTTATATAATCACTAGTTTGGATTGCTCTACTGATGTCATGTTACCAGGAAACGGGGGACTCATAAAATATATTTTGAGCCTATGATATGTGGCTAAAAAAAGTATTATTCTTCTGCTTCACTTAGAAGTTAGTCTCTTATGAAATCTGATAGTTTTACAGATGCATCGAGAGCAGAACAAATTAGAGTATTCATTTTTGCTTTCGACTCAATCTTTTCTCTTTGCTTCGTTAGTATTTCATTATTCCTTCAAAGTTTATATGGGGGTTTTTTTCCCCCCACTGATGGACAGCTACCTTTGAGGGGAAGAGATGCAGTTGATACAAAAGACAAGTGGACTAAGCGGGATGTGAAAGTACCCTCTCTTGGGTCATATCATGCTGAATTTTTTTGTTCATTGTCATATTTTTTCCATTTCATTTCTTCTGATGAAGATTAAAATGGTGCCTTTAGTCAATGATATGCTACCAATATTTCAACCCAGGACACTCATAAGGATTTTCCTCATTAGACAGTGATAAACCACATGGACCCAGGAGAGAGAAAATGCAGGTGAAGGTGTGGAGAAATTCTTTATAATTTTTCCTATGTCAACATAATTTCTGCCTCTAAGAAAAAAAGTCAAAATCAACTAGCAAACCAACTTACTGATGTAATTACCAGTATATTAAAGTGTATTATGCTAGAAATGTTTGCACTTTAAATGATTACAATATTTTGATCTATTTTTATTGATAGCATAACAGTTTTGCATGTTAAAATCTGAAAGCAGAAAAGCAGTGGAAATAACAAGAATCTTGTAGTATGGTTTAAGTTTCCCTCTCCTCAATAATTATTTTGAAAATACCCAATATCTGGTTCAGGAGAAAACAATTTGTTCTTTAGAAATATATTAATGAGCACTGTAGATAAATCACTCACTCACAGGGATGATTAAGCAGTTAGGCTCAGATCCACAAAGGTGTTTAAGGTGCCTAAATCCCTGTTTTGTCTTCATGAGATCCACAAAAACTCTTATTAAACTCCATAGGTTCTTAAATTCATTCAGCACTTTAAGTTTCTTAGGATAAAGGTTTCCCAGTCACCTCTGTTACAGACCCTGGGCATGTGTACTGTGGCCTCCCTCCAGATGTCTGGACACCTACCTCCCAGCTAAGCCCTTGAACTGTTCCTAAGTGTGGGGAGAATAGATATTCTTCCACCTCACTCACATGCAGAGCCCAAGCTAATAGGTAGTATCTGAGCATTCAGACCACCCCCCATGTCCCATTCAAAACCCAGGATGTGAGGGGAAGGTGGCAGTAGCACCCACCTTATAACTTTTAGCCTAAAGGTGAGAGCACTGGGCTGGGATATGCCCAATGACTGTTCCACTGTAGACATGTGCATAACTAGTTATTGGGCCAGAGATTCCACTGAGAGGTGGGAGATCCCTGTTCAAATCAAAGGAGAGAATAGAACCTAGGTCTTCTACATCCCAAGTGCTCCAATTACTGTGCTAAAGTAAGGTGAGCAACCCTTCCTCCTCCAGCTATTTTGCATGGAGCAAGACAGATGTCTAACTCATTTCATCACAAAGTGGCTTAGTTGCCATTTGTGGATTGCTAGCAGAGAAAGGTACTTCCCTGCAGCCTGGATTTGGGTATCTAATGTCCAAGAGAAGTGCAGGGCTTAAAACACATCCCACTGATTGGCTGCTTTCACTGGCTTGCTGAGGCAGCTCCATACCTATTTTGCTGGAGTTTATGGATGGCATTCTTTGGTGCCTACCTCTCTCCATTAATGGTTTAGACAGACTACATGGTTAACTCCTCTGGCAGGATCCCAGTATGGTTCCTCTGATTTTCTAGGCATTAAGTGAGGTGCCATGGTGCTCACTGTTGCAACAGCTAAGTACCTTTGTAGATTCTACTCAAACAGCTTAGATTGAGAACTTAGATTGAGAGCT